TCCACCTCCAAGTCGTTTTGCCCCGGCCGCCCCATCCTCCATGTGTCCCCCGAGGGAGGCTGGCGTCTGCCCGCTGAGGGCTCGGCTCCCCGGCAGGCGCAGGCCAGGCCGCAAGCCCCTCTTCCCGCGTGAAGCCCTGCCCTCTGCACCTGCCTCGAGGCCCTGGGCAGGCCGGCCCTTAGCCACAGGCTCCTCTCGGTCACGCTTCCAACTCCTCCCACGGTCCTGCGTCTCCATGAGAGCCCTGGATGATTCCGGAATCCAGATAAAGAGTCGTCCTGGCTGCACCCCTCTGCCTCTAAACTGCAGCCACCCTGGGCTGGAGCCACAGCCTCCATCACGGCCCCTGTGACGCTGGGTGGTACTGTTGCCAGCGCATGAACGGGGTGAGGCAACGGTCCAACCACAGTGCAACCCAGGTGCCTCCGCAACAGTCTCACCTGACTGGCCCCGAGCTGACCAGGCTCCTCCGGGCGAAGGCGGTGTGGACCGAGGCTGGCGGGCGGGCAGCTCAGCCTCGAGGTGGGATGAGCTCACAGCGCCGGGGCAGGTCCGGGCCACCCAGCCTGTGACCCTCAGAGCGACCGGTCTCCACTTGGGAGCACGCTGAGCCCTGGGGAGGGTTGAAAGTAGTAACCAGAGCCTGGGCCTGCGCTGGGGGCCCTGAGCTACTGGGCTAGCAGGGCCTGGGCCCCAGGACAAAGCCAGGGACTGAGGGGACCCCACTGGGCATGTCTGGGGGGCACACACCCCAGACCTGGGTTCCTACGGGACAGTGTCCAGGGATGTGCAGGGCAGCCCCCGGCAGGGGCAGCCCTACAGAGCTGAGCCAGCAGCTGCAGAGAAAGATGTGATTCCAATGACCTAGGGACCAGGGAGCAGGGGCGGCTGCCCCAGAAACGGGGCTAAGCCGTTTCCGTGGGGCCTGCAAGGCTGGGACGGAAACACTGTCCTTGGCGAAGAAACGCCAGAAGGGCTCAGCAGACAGGGCGGCCGACCACGGGGAGGGAGGGGCAGGTCTGGTCCCGCCCCCCCGCCCCCCCAGAGCCCTCAGACTGTGAAGGGCCCTGGCCGGCTGGGTTTGTGGCTTCGGTGGTGCCACCTGTGAGTGTGAGCGTGGAACTTACCGGGAGGAAGTGCACTCTGGTGAGGCGCTACCACGTCAATGCACTTTTAAAATACCAGCAGTCAGACTTCATTAGAACACACAGTGATCCTTTCCTCGTCTCGTTACAGCAGTTTTCCAGAAGGTTCTGTTTGGGGAGTTGCTTGATTATCTAAACACACTTTTCTTTCTTTTAGGGCCACATTCCAATTGGGTTGCCTGCCCACAGACCCAGCCGTGTGGCTGGGAGGCTTCAGGGCTGGCGGTTTCTCTGGGGATGACTGGCCGCGCTTCGCTCGGACTCCTGGCCACGCCAGCAGGGCCTGCGTCCACAGGAAACGTGAGCCGGGCTGGCTCGGAGCCGTCCAGGGGATGCAGAGGCTGTGCCCAGGAACACAGAGGGTCAGTCATGCCTGACCACCGTCCTGAGGATGAGGTCACCAAGCCAGCAGAGAGGCAGGAATGTGTCCACCCCACAAACACGTCTGGAATGTGCTCCGAGCCGAGGGAGCGGTTTGCGCCCTCGTGGGTGAGACCCAGGCGACTGTTGCTTCCCCTCGCGGGCGCAGCGCGGGGCGTGGGCCTCTGTCCTCTCTCGGGTCACGGGCAGCGTCTGTGTGCAGCGCTCGGGGCAACGAGGGCCCGCAAGCTTGCCCGGGGCAGTCGTCCCGGTCCTTCTCTGACCTCTCGGTCTTGCCCTCGCTGGTCCACTCGCGCTGTTCGGCTTCTGCCCTCACCGTTCTCCACTGTGGGAGCTCGTGTGTCCCACGAGCTTTGGAGCCAGGCAGGTCTGGGAGCGGACCTCCAGGTCACGACGTGGGCCCCATGAGGGCCGAATGGGTTAGGACCGTGAGGCAGGGTCAGCGTGTGGCAGGTCACCGTGGGGTGTCTGAGTCACGGGGTGGTGAGGCTGGCTGGCTGGCTGGATTATGGCTGTTTGGGGGTCCCTGTGGAGACTGGCTTAGGTGGCGATTAGTCTGCGACCGGGTTCACCGGGGAGGGAGGAGCGATCAGGGGCCCGACGTCGCCAGGGGCCTGAGCCCAGCTCTCGCGCCGTCTGGCATCCTCGAAGAGCAGGAGAGTTGAGAGAGACCCCAATGCCCGGACCCCATGTGGGAATGCCAATGCAATTGCCACGGGATAGGCACTAGGGTTCTGGCGCTGTGTAACAAAATACCAAACTTAGTGGCTTCAAAAAACACGCACTCGCTTTCTCGGTTTCCTTGGGTGAGGAGCTGGGATGCGCCTAGCTGGGCCCTCCGCGCAGGGCCTCACGGCTGCATCGGCCGGCTGTGCCTTCGCCGCAGACCTCATTGCCTCGCGGTTGGGGGACCGGTGGCCTCGGTTTGACTGGCCGTCAGCGGCATGCATGGTCAGGCCCCGGAGGTCACCTGCAGTCCCTGCCACCCTTCTCACATGGCTGTTTCCCTCCTCAAGGCCAGCAGGGAAGAGCAAGAGCTGGCTAGGCGGCTTACTGGAGGGACGCCTCTTTGGCACATAATGTGACCTCATCAAGACAGTGACATCCGCCACCTTCACCACTTTTGTTGGTTGGAAGCAAGTCACAGGCTCCGCTCCCAGTCGCGGGGAGAGCGGACAGACTGGGGAGGTCACCGCAAGTGTATCTGCCACGTGCTAGAACGTGGGCACTGGGATTCTTCCGAGCTCTCCCAGGAGGAAACTTCCACGCGCAGCAAAATTTGGGAACCGCTCATCCGAGGACCTTTGTTGCCATCTAATTGTAGGGCCAGGTTTGTGTCTCCTTCCCGCAGGCCCTGCCCAGTCCAGGCCCGGGGGCTGCCCAGGGACCCAAGGCAGACCCCTTCGTTCTGGGATGCCGGTCAGACACCGGGGGGTGAGGTTGCTGGTGCAGTTAGATGGAGCTGTCAGAGGTTTAGAAAGAGGGATTGAATTACCTGATTAATTTCGCAAATTGCTGCAACAGCCATCTCTCCACAGTCATATATCTTTAATAAATGTGATGTCCATTTAAACCGCATTTTGCATAAAAATACAAAGAAAAATGCTATGGACCAAACTCAGTCCCTCCAAAATTGTGTCAAAGCCCCTAATTCCCAATGTGATTTATCAGGAATAGGATTTTAGGAGGTAATTAAGATTAAATGAGGTCATGGGAGGGGGCCCTACAGGAAGGGGAAGGGAAGTGGTTCCGGTTCACAATCGTGTCCCAGGAGATCCTGAACTCTCCCTCCCGCGGGAAACCCCCAGTCTGCAGTGGCACAAGGAACAATTCCCTCTGAAAAAACCCTAAAAACTGGCAGAGCACCCTTCCGCAAACATCAGAGTGTGATAATGGGTCCACGTGGGTTCCTTAATTGTTACAAACTACCATCCTCCTGCAGATGGTGGGGGAGGGGGAGGGTGTGTGAAGCAAGGACTCTGGGGGACTCTCTCTGCCTTCTGCTCAACGGCGCTGTGACCCCAAAACTGCTTTAAAAGTCAAGTCTGTGTTTTGCCCTGGGGTGGGGGTGGGGAGTTGGTTCAGCTGGTTAGAGCGTCCTCTGGAAGCACCCAATGAATGCATCAATGAGTGCGACAACACATCTCTCTCTCTCTCTCTCAAAACCAGTAAATAAAAGATTTTAAAAAAAGTTTATTTCCATGATCATGGTATCTCCCCTGCCAGGCAAGTATCAAGTCTATTTTCAAAAGTGTTCTTTTAATGAGTCTTTATTTTAAAATGAAAGGGTGAACCACAGAAGAGGAAAACGTGCATGCAATGTAAATAATTGGCAATTGACCCATTTCCAAAAATGCATAAAACCTTTTAATGAGACAACAAGGAACCTACGCCACAGGAAGACAAGACCCGAGACCAGTCGGGTCCCCCAGGCGACCCACAAACAGTGACGGGCACCGGCCGGCCGCTCACAGGCCGACGTGGGAGCCTGCAGGTGGAAAGGACGCCGAGGGCAGTTTCCTTGGCCCTCGGTGGGGGGCAGGGGGCGCACACGAAGACGCGGTCCCACCAGGGACGGCGAGGGGCGCGGCCGTGCTCTCGTCGGGCACGTGGCTCTTCGGGGTGGGAAGGGGATGACTCCGCAGATTCACTTCCTGGTGGGCAGAGGCTCATGGGAGATATGCAGATGAGCCCAGAGCACCATGGGAAACGGCCCTTTATATTCCCATGCGGGCCGGCTTCCCTCCTTTTCCGGGACGCCCGCGGGAGCGAGGCGCCGGCCGGTAAGAGCCGTGCGGACTGAGGAGCGGTCCGGCGGTCCGGGCTGGCGGAGGGCGGGGGCTAGAGCGCCCCAATCGTCCGGCGTGGCCCCGGGCAAGGTGTCAGCTCAGGTGGGGGCGGCCGGGCCTCGGAGGTTTTCTCAGGTTCTGCTGGGTTCTGTCCGCTTTCGTCAGGTTTTGTTCAGATTCTTTCCGTTTCCATCAGGGGCCCTCGGGGTCTGTCAGGCTCCGTCAGGCGAGGCTGCCTGGGTGTGGGGGTCTCTGGGGGGCCCACAGGGGGCGCCCGGGAGAGACGGGGAGGGGGAGGGGCGGCCGTGGGGGAGGGGCCGCGTGCCCCGCAGGCCTCGGCGCCGCTGACCCGCGCGGACGCCCCGCGGAGGGCGGGGCCTGGGGTCAGGACCCCGCCCCGCCCCGCCCGTCCCGCGGCCTCGGCGCCGGCCCGCCAGGGGGCGCCTGACCGCCCTCCCGTTCTCCTTGCAGCTCCCGGGGAAGAGCGCCCGCGCCCGCCGAAGAAATTTCCAGAAGCTCGCGCCTCCCAGCCTCGGCAGGTCCCTGGGGAACTGGGGCCCAGGTCGCCCCCCTCCGAGCCCCCCCCGGAGGCGCCTGCCCTCCCGCCGGCCCTGGAGCAGCGCCCGGGCCCTCGGGCGCCGGCGGGCCCGACCCGCGGAGGGCGGAGGGCGGCGCGCGCGCGGCCATGTGCCCGCCGGTCAGCGTGCGGCCCGGCAGGGAGGGCGTGGCGCACCTGCACGCGTCCTGGCTGTACCAGCTGCAGCACGGCGACCAGCTGCGCATCTGCTTCACGTGCTTCAAGTTCGTCTACCTGAGCTTCAAGGAGTCGCTGGAGGCCGAGGACTGGGACGAGGAGGACTGGGACGTGGGCCCCATGGAGGCGCCCGGCTGGGGGCCGGGCCTGGGTCAGCCGGCGGCGGCGGCGGCGGACTGGGCGGTGGCCACCCCCGCGCTGTCCCCTGACGAGTCCGCGGAGGCCGGCGTGGACCAGTACTTGGTGCCCACGGAGCTCGCCCCTCAGGATGCCGCGCCCCTGGGCCTGGGTCCCGAGGACGCCGACTGGACCCAGGGCCTCCCCTGGAGGTTCGGGGGGATTCCCGCCTGCTGCCACTGGCCCAGCCCCTACGTCCTGTGGCAGGCGTTTCTCAAAGAGGTCCTGCCGCCGGGGGAGCCCATGCTGCTGGAGCTGGGGACCACCCGGGCGGTGGACCCGGTCGAGGCCGAGGCCTGGCTTCTGGGCCTGCAGGTCATGTCCATGGTGGGTGACGCGGAGGCCGTCTACCTCCGGAACATGACAGCGCGCTGGGCCCGGAGGGCCCCCGGCGAGGGCTGGAACGTGCTGCTGGAGCCTGACGACGTGTGTGTGGTGAGACTCCAAAACGCGCCCCAGGGGCAGGACCTGAACCAGTGGAGGCTGAGCATTCTGGAAACCTCCACAACAGGGTACGGGGTGGAGCTGGTCCCCGCGGACACAGCCCTGCTGAGGAAGGGGTTCAGCATCCTCTCTTACTCTCCTTGGAACAAAAAGGAGGCAGAGAAGAGCGACGCGGCATCCGGGCCAGAGTCCTCCACCGAAGCGCAAGATGCCAGCATCCCTGGGGCCTGCAGCGCCGGACCCAGGGAGACCCGGGGGAGCCCGGGCCCTGCACCCAAGGCCCAGGACTGCGACTGAGGCCCAAGAGACCGCTGTTGTCCCGGCTGCCCCAGGACAGTCCAGGCTGGGAGGGACCGGGAGCTGCTGTCAAAGGATGGGCACTGGGGCCTGTGCTGGGAGGGCGGGGAGTGGCCTCGGGGCTGCAGTGGGATCTCAGTGGGAAGCGAGACACACGTCCTTAGCTGGGGAGAGAATGTCTTACCTGTGCATTGTCATGGAGTTAGTGTGACTGCTGCGTGGGTGTTTTTGTGCAGCGTGTGAAGTCGGGAGCAAGACAGGATTCTGCGCCCCTGCCTGCCCTCGCCACGGGGAGAGATGTGCGGGGGACACTCCAGGAACACGCTGGAGCCTGTTGCCAGACAGACGGGGGTCTGGTCTGTATTGGGTTTCAAGTGTTTGCTATTTTTTGCAGTTTGACCATTTAGTTCCTGTTTCTTTGTTGTTTTTCCTTCAATAAAACAAGTGTTCTGCATCAAAGCCGCTCTCCGGTAGTCCTAGTTGATTGGCCTTGTGGGCTCCGTGTCTGGGGTGAGCCCCCTTTACAGGTTCAGATTCCCTACAAGGAGGGGGCAGATGGCCCTGGTCAGTTTTTGGCTCACAATGGGAATTCGTTTTAAAGGTGCTCCTCACATAACAGACAACATATACACAGGCTCTAAACATAAGAGCCATGTTTTGGACAATAATGAAAATGTACCCCTGAGATTAAAAAAGACGACTGCGGGCCGACCCCTGTGTAAGGGACCCCGGTGCTGTCCGTGGGAGGGGCTCGCTCACTGTAAGCAGCCCCGGGCTCTGCAGGCTCAAGGAGAACGCGGCTCGAGGGCTGGTCGCGGGGGCCGGAGGGGGGCAGGTGCTGTGGGCAGTGAGGAAGCTCTTAATGGGCAGCTGCTCGAGAATGACCAGCCTGGAGGTTTCCGCAGGCCTGCGTTGGCCGTCTGGCTTCCAGGGATGGGGTGGTCCTTCCCAGGGTCCACCCCCGCCCCCGGGGGTTTAGTGCTGCCTTAGGTATTAACAGGAGCAGTAAGGTCCTTCTACTGAGTTTTGTGGGGAGCTCTTCCTCGTGCACCTTTCAGAAGCGCGTCTCCAGCTCTTAAGTCGTGAAGGCTTCCAGTGCGAGTCGAACGGAGAAAGGGCATTAATGCAGCACCTGGTCCAAACACGTCGCCTCAGCAACACGCCCGGGCCGGTCTTGCCTGCCGTCCCTCCGCTTCGACCCTCCAGGTTCAACAGTCTGCTTACTCGTTATTCCAGCCTTTTCCACTGTCAGGTTTCTGGGGTCCTGAATCAGAGCCCTTTCCTGCGGATCCCCCAGCCTGAGGGCCCCACCGTGACTGGAGGAGGCAACGCTTCAACCCCCAGGGCCCCTCGAGGGGGCGGCGGGCCGCGCGGTCCCTTAGATGCCCACGGGGTCCATTCTGAGAGAAGACTGCGTGAACTCGAACAGTCTCCCTTGCCCTGCTCTTGAGCGGCCCCGGGGTGGGCACTTGAAGTCCCGAAGTCCTCCGACCTCTGACCTCTGACCTCTACTGAGCGCTCCGCAGCTGGAGCCCGGCAGCTGCTCGAGCTGCTCAGGTGTGGGAGGCCCTCCGCCGGCCCCCAGCGCCGCCCCCAGCGGCAGGCCTGTGTGCTTTCTAATCAGGGCGGTTGGCACCATCATTCCTCCAGCTGGGTCACATCAGGGGTGTTGGGACCAGGACTGGGGAGAGTGTCATTTCTGACATTGAAAGCAAGGAGGGACATTAGCAGTGTCACCAAGAGAAGTGTGTGCTGGAACCGTGCAGTTAGCCAGTGCCTACAGAGGGGTCAGGGCGGTGCCGGGGAAGCGTGCGCCCTGGGGGTCCTCCTGGGCAGCCGTGGGCGGAGCAGGGAGCCCGGCCCAGCAGGGTCCCAGGCGGCCTCTCCTGACAGGTGGGGCCACGGCCCAGCTCCTCTGGCGGCTTCTGCCGGCTGCTGCCTCCTCCGACGGGCAGCCTCCCCTCAGCTCCGCTGGGCCCACTGGCCTGGACTCCAGTGGAGGGGCACGTTGGCCTGCATTCCCCGCCCGAGTCCTGCTCCCTCTCCTTTGTCTTTCCCAGACGTTTTTTGGGGGGGGGGAGGCGGGAGGAGGAGGTGGGGGCAGGGTGGGCTGCGACAGGACACGCCTTTTTGATGAGTCTCCTGGAAAGCAACCCGCAAAGCCAGATTCTGTCTCCGGAACTTCATTTCACACAGAATTTAGTGATACAGTTGGAAACGAGTTTCGCAGGAAAACTTCCATTCCAAAACATAATGGACCCACTGTGTGCAGAGCCAAGCCTTAAGTCATGTTAGCGTGAAGTGGGAGCTTTATGATCGATTTGTGATTTAATGGTCCAGAACGTGACTCACGGGCCAGCAGTTACTTTTGCCCAGAGCACAGTCGGTTTTAGGGGCCGGACCCCCACAACCTGGCAGGGTAGCAGCTGCCGCGAACATTCCTGTTTCCAGCAGGAGCCCTGGCTCCACCCGCACCCCAGCTCTGGGCAGACCCACACGCTGGGGGCCCTCAGGTCCTCTCAGGTCCAGGCTGGAGGAGGAGGGTTCGCCGCACCAGGGAGGTTGGGAGCGCCCCCTGGCCTTGAGCCTTCAGGCCTTGAGCTCGCTCCCTGCCCCTCACTCCACCCGCCTCCCTGTCGGGGTCCTCGCAGCCCCTCTCAGGTTAACCCCCCTCCCCCACCGTCTGCAGGCTCTGTCCAACCTGCTCTTCCCTCCTGGCGCCAAAGGAGAGAAGGTCCCTCTGCAAGATCTCATGACCAGGAGATGGGGGACCAAGGCTGTTCTAGAGGGTGGGAGGCGACCCCCTCCCCGGCGCTGGCGGATGCTGTCCTTGGTCTTGGGTCATCTGTACAGTCCGCAGCCCCGGGCTGTGCTCCCAGCGGCTTCTCCAGTGACCCGGGCACGCCCTGGGTGCCGGGCACGTGGACCGGAGGCAGCGGACGAGTCGATCGGCCTGACTCGCCTGCCCACGGAGGGGGCGATGAGGGCAGGGGCTGTCTGTGAGCCGCTTGTCCAGGAGCTTTGGTGACACAGAGACCCCGCGGGGCCCCGGGCTCGCCTCTCAGTGGGGAGTGGGGGGTGGGGGCTGTGCCCCAGGGTCCCAGGCTCCCTGAAAAGGGTGGAGTCATCTGAATGCGACACATAAAGGAATAGGAAATTCCAAAACAAAACAGCAGCATTAGCCACAGTGGCCAAAAGGCGGGAGCAACCCAGTGTCCCCCGAGGGACGAAGGAACGCGCCAGGGACCGTCCGCTCCGTGGAGCCGCGTCCAGCCTTCGGAGGGAGGTCCTGACGCCGGCACCCTCCACAGGACAGCGCCTGTGCGGTGCCCTCACGTGGTGCCCCTACAGGGGTCAGCGGTCAGGGACGAGGAGGAGGGTGGTGGCCCCCGGGCTGGGGGCAGGGGAAGGGGAATTAGCGGCGGTGGGGACAGTTCTGTTTCGAGGGGTGAAAACGCTTGAAATGGACACTGGGGACAACGCACAACATCGTGTTGTTAATGCCACGGGCAGAGGCCCGGCCCGGGGCCAGGGGAGGATTGGGGCCGGGGCTGCAGAGGGCAACGTCTAAACGCGGACACCCGGTGGCGGGGCACGTGGCTGGGGTGACTTCACCCCACCACGCCGCGGCGGTCCCGCCCCGGGGAGAGCTCCTCGGACTCCGCTGGGGCCCCGACCTGCTGCCCTTGGCCAGAGTCTGGGGCTCCTTCTCGTCCAGGTCCTGGCACCATCCCTGCGCCCCGCATCCCCTCGTTCCTCCAGTGCCACCCCCCCGCGGCAGGTCCCAGTGCCAACAGCACCGTCTGCCCCTCGATCCAGCGCCCCGTCTCCCTGGCGCGCCCCTCTGCGCCCCTCCCCCGGGCTCCCTCTCCTGGCACCCCTGCCTTGGTTATTAATATCCGGCGCGGGCTCGGGGCCACGGCGCATTCCCAGCTGGCGGCCGGGCGGGTGGCGGTGGCGACCAGGACCCGGCCCCGAGCTCGGCTGCCAGCAGGAGCGGCGGGCGGAGTCCCGTCCGTCGCGAGTCCCGGTCCCTGCAAGCCCCTGGGACGGGCCGTTTGGAGACGTGTGAGGGCGAGAGCTCAGCCTGCTGCGCGGGGACCGAGGTGAGCGCGCTGGGCGCTGGAGGGCCGGTGCCGGGCTGGTGCGGGGCGCCCCAGCCCAGGGTCACCGGGGGCTCTGGGGCGCGGGCCCAGGTGCTGCTTGGCTCACTCTGCCGGACATGCAGGGCCTCCCCTCGGAGTGCTGGGCGCCCCGCTGCTCCTCGGCAGCCCCGCGGCAGGGGGCTCTGGAACCAGGCTCGTAGGAGGGGTCCCCTCGCCAGCCGCTCCGGACCCGTGTCAGGCGCCTGGGGCGGGCCTGAGTCCCCTTCCGCACGGGGGGCTCAGTTGCCGCCAGGCGGGCGTCTGCGTTTCCTCCTCATCAGCACCAGACCCGCCGAGAAAGGCCCGGAGGCTGTGTTGCCCGGGTGTGGGGGAGGTGGCTGTCCAGGGGCCTGCGGTCGATTTTGGATCCCCAGGTTTTAGGCCTGTTTTCCGTATCAAGATAATCCTCATACGGGAGGAAGCGATCTCAGGTGTGCGGCTCCACGAGTTTTTACACGTGCGTTTGCACCCCCCAGGCTAGGACGCAGCCTGTTTCCAGACCCCCCGCCCCAGGGCCCTCCAGTGTCCCCCAGGGAGCCAGTGCCCAGGCCCAGGGGCCTTCCCTGAACTTCATGGAGATGGAATCACAGTCCGATTCCCTGGGCAGGACACAGCGCCTGTGAGCGCCGCCCGCGCTGTTGGGGGCAGGGTAACCTGTCTTCACTGCGGGGAGCGTTTTCATGACGAGGCCACAGCCAGGTCACCCACCTCCTATCTACCGGCGGCTGCTGGCGCCTGGCTGTCCGGAGAGCTGCTGGGAGCACTTGCCGCCTCTCTGGGAACACGTGGGCCGCTTCTGTCGGGGACGAACCTCAGGTGGACCCCGAGGCAGAAGGCCGGCCTGCGGACGCTGCCTGTGGACATTCCCCCCGGCAGGGGACCGTCCCCCCTCCGCCCCCCACGTGGGGGTCTGCGCTGTGCCTTTCCCGGCCGCCCGAGTGCCCAGCGGCTTTGGTCTTTTCCCAGCATCTTGTCATTTGCTTCTGGGCCTTCTGACGTCCTCTTTGAGAAGTTTCTGTTCAAATCTTCTTCCCTCCGAAATGGGTTTAATTTTTACCGATCTGCAGTTTTTCCATCTATTTTGGTGACTCGTCGCCATGTCTCCCACTCTCAGTCCCTCAGCGAGGGCCACTGGCTGGTGGTCCCCTCTCCCCTTGCGCGCGCTCCCTGCGCACTTCTGCGGGTCTCTGCCTCCCCAGGGCCGCGCAGCTGTCCTCCCGTGTGTCCAGAAGCTCGCAGGCCCGCGGTCCTGAGTCACGTTTGTGTCCCGTGTGAGGCGAACCCGGGGACATTGCAGGGGCTTCCCCCTCTTGGTCACGCGTCCTTTCCCGCTGGAGCCCTTCTACTCGGCAGATACTGCTTTTGCCATCCGACCAGAACGCATTTTTAAACCGTGCGGGAGAAAACCATCGGGAGGAAGGCCCTCAGGTAAGCGAGGGCCTGCTGTTTGGCGACGGGAAGGGAGGCCTGGGGCGATCTGGGCTCCGGGCTTGGGGCTCCACCCACGGCTGCCCGCCCCACTGCGGTTCTCGGAAGAAGCCGAGGCCACCCCGGCGGCCCCTGGACTTGCCCTGAGGCCCAGCGCCGGGGCAGCCGGTCCAGCGGGCTCTGAGTCTCGTTGGAGAGCCGGGAAGGAGGCCGGGCGGCAGAGCTCTGGACGGGGATCCCCGGGCGGGGAGCCCCTCCCTCCGCAGGCGCCCGCTGGTGGGCGCCGCGCCCTCGTGTGGGAGGGGAGCCCCAACTTGACGGGCACCTCCTCCCGCAGCACAGGCCGGCGCCCGCAGATGCCCCCGGCGGCCCGCCCGGCGCCCAGCCCCGCGTGAGGCGGCACGGATGGCCCTGCGCCCAGAGCCCGCGGGCGGCTTTCCCGTGCGGGGCCCCAACGCGTCGCTCAACGGCTCGTGGGCTGGCCCCGCGGAGCCCGGCGCCCCGGAGGACCTGGCAGCCACGGGCGCCATCGGGGCGCTGCTCGTGGCCATGGGCGTCGTGGGCGTGGCGGGCAACGCGTACGCGCTGGTGGTCACGTGCCGCTGCCTGCGCGCCTCGGCCTCCCTGCGCGTCTACGTGGTCAGCCTGGCGCTGGCCGACCTGCTCTACCTGCTCGGCATCCCCTTCATCGTGACCACCTACGTCACGCGGGAGTGGCACTTCGGGGACGCGGGCTGCCGGGTCCTCTTCGGCCTGGACTTCCTGACCATGCACGCCAGCGCCTTCACGCTGACTGCCATGAGCCGTGAGCGCTGCGCTGCGGTGCTGAGGCCGCTGGCCGCCGCGCGGCGCTCCCACGGCTGCCGCCGGGGCCTGGCGCTGGGCGCGTGGCTGCTGGCGCTGCTGCTGGCGCTGCCCATGGCGCTGGCCGTGCGGCTGGTCCGCAGGGGCCGCAAGAGCCTCTGCCTGCCGGCCTGGGGCCGGGGCGCCCACCGCGCCTACCTGACGCTGCTCTTCGGGACCAGCATCGTGGGGCCCGGCCTGGCCATCGGGCTGCTCTACCTGCGCCTGGCCCGGGCCTACTGGCTGTCGCAGCGGGCCTCCTTCCCGCAGACGCGGCGGCTGCCCAACCCCCGGGTGCCGCGCCTCGTCCTGGGCATCGTGCTGCTCTTCTGGGCCTGCTTCCTGCCCTTCTGGCTCTGGCAGCTGCTGGCCCAGTACCGCGGCGCCCAGCCGCTGCCGCCACGCAGCTCGCGCATCGTCAACTACCTGACCACCTGCCTCACCTACGGCAACAGCTGCCTCAACCCCTTCCTCTACACGCTGCTCACCAAGAACTACCGTGACTTCCGGCGGCGCGCGCCCCGCGGCGCCCGCCTGCAGCGCCCCGCCCTCGCCCCGCCGCGCCCCTCCAGCGGGTCGCCGACCCCCAGCAGCCAGCAGGCCTCCGGGCCCATCGGCCTGTCCCTCAGGGCCCCGGGGGGTGTCCTCGTCTGAGCGCCCTGGCGTTGGGGTGGGCGCCGCGGTGGGGTGGCCGAGGCTGGGGTTCTGCAGGGAGGGCCCCGAGGATAGTCCCTGGAGCCCTTCCCAGCCCCTGCCAACAGCCTCCCTCCCTCCCTCTTCTTCCAGAAAGTCCCCTGCTCTCGCCTCCCCATCGCTCATTGCAGCTGCCAGCCCAGAGCCGCCCCCAGCCCCGGCAGGCCCAGCTCTGCGGAGCGACAGGCAGTCAGCTGCCTGCTCGGACCGGCCCTCCTGCGGGTGTGTGGTCTCTGTGGCACCTCTCTGTTCCTCCTGGCTCTGTAACAATAAACGCTAAGCTCTGTGACCTGTGTCCTGCCTCGGCCTGGGGGTGGGCCGCCGAGGGTGGGAGGACCCACGGCACGGAATGGCGCGGCCCGAGATGGCGTGGCACAGGGAAGCCTGCCCGTCGGGCGCGCATCTCCCTTGGAGGCCTTTGCTGGTGGCTGGTCTGGCCGTCCTGACATGAGGGCCCAGTGCTGTCCAGCCTAAGCCAGACCCCAGAGCGTGGGGCCCGAGACCCCGGGGTGAGGCAGGGAACGACCACCACAAGGTGCTCAGGGGGGAGGGGCAGCTGGGGGCGGGGGCTCAGTCCAGGGCAGGAACATAATGCCCAGGAACCGTGAGCCAGAATCCTCCCACCCTCAGCGTGCCTCTCCCGGCCCGGGCCTGCGGCGTTGGCCTGCGCCCTCTGCGTGCGGTGTTCGAGCGGGGCCGCCCGGGGCACCGAGGGTTCTGGGCCCTGCCCCCGGAGAGCCCGCCCCTGCCCACCGCGGGCAGCACACTGGGCAGCAGGGGCCTGACACCTGGTGGGGGCAAGTGAGTGAATGAATGAACCGTGTCCCTCAGCGGGGGACTCACCGCACTCTCCCATTTTGTCTTCCGTCTTCCTAATGGGGGGAGGGGTTGGGGACGGGGAGGAAGAACCCAGAAGGGCTCTTCTGGGTTCACAGCCGAGCCAGAGGCTCTGGTTCCCGGGAGGTGGCATGCAGGCGGGCAGCTGCGGTGGGAGCCTCGTGGTGGGCGACGGGTTTACCGGGAGCAGGCACGTTCCTGCCCCGCGGGCCGGCCAGCCTCAGTCTCGCCAGCCTTGACCGCTGATCAAGCGGGGTGGTGGGGATGCGCAGGGCCACCGGGCGTTTCCGGGCACTGCCAGGCCCGGGAGAGCGGCCTCGCCCAGTCCAGGTGCCGGCCCCTGGGCTGGGACGCGTGCCACTGGCGGCGCAGCCGGCTGCTGCCCTTTGCGTCCGTCATTTATCAACAAAGCAGCACAGGCACCGGCTCCCTTCACTCCTTGTCTCCCTAGGGACTCAGCCAGTGGACGCCCACACTCTCTGCTTTGGGGTCTGTCCTCAGCACATGAGCTCTTGGGGCGGGGGTGTCGCCAGCCGCGGGCAAGGACAGTGGCAGTGCCTGTGGACGGAGAGGTGGCCCTGCCCGGCGGCAGGGGACACAGCTCGGCTGCAGGGACCTGAGCTCTTATCCAATCTCACACCTGTGCACACCCAGTGGACAGGCCACTCTGAACTGTCACCTGGAGGGCCAGCCGTGGGCGGCAGGGGAGCTCAGCCAGCAGAAAGCCAGGGCCCCATCCCGTGGAGGGGAGGCGGGTGGCTGGAGTCTAGCCGGAGCCCCAGACACCCCCAAACCACCAGCCCGAGGACCTGGGCCCCAGAGCCCCCCGCAGGCAGCTTTCCCATCGGAACTCCAGACAGGGCGCCTGGAGCAGGAAGCCAGGCTGCCGGAGGCACGCAGCCCGGAGCCCTTGGATGGCTACCGCCTTCCCCAGGCCAAGCGCCCGCCCTGTGGGGCCGCTGGCCTGCTCCGGGCCCCCCTCCCTGCACTCCCTGGCCCCGGGGAGGCACCGCCCCGCGGCGGGCGGTGCTGCAGGCCGTCTGCCACTCAGCACTTGTCTCCGTCTCAGAGCTGGGGATGAGGGACTTGAGGGGCCACCCAGGCCGGTGGGCTTTCGCCCCCGTGGCCTTAGGCAGCCTCTGTGGGGTTGGGAGTCCAGAGCCCGCATCTCGCCCAGAAGCTATGCGTCAGCGAGCAGCACCAAGACGGAGGCTGCCAGGGCATCGGGCTGGCTGCCCTGGGCGGAGCTCCTCTGGGGGTCCCAGGGGGGAGGGGAGGGCACCCCAGTTTCTGCCCTTGGTCTCCCAGGACGGCTTCCTCACCTCACTGCCTTGTCCCCTCACCCCACAAGTCATGACAGCCTTCCACAGGGCCCACACGTTGGGCGGCGGGGGGAGTTCCCCATCAGGGAGGGCCTCAGCGGGGCCCTGGGGACCCAGGGGCCCTGGGAGGGGCAGCAGGCACAGACGCGGGCCCTGTGTTCCCTGGGATGAAGCCTCGGCCCAGAGCCCGGCTGAGTGTGCGGAGACCCGGGACATCGTCCCCTCCCCTCCCAGCTCGCTGGGACTTTCCGGCAATGAGGCCCGTCCGGAGCCCCCCTTCCCTGCTCCCTTGGGATCTGCTTGCACTAGAAGGTGCTGAGACAAGGACGCGCGCGGGGGGGGGTCTCCAGACTGTCAGGGGACAGAGATCGGGTGTCCGTCCCGGTCACCCGGCCGCCGTGTCCTCCCTTGCACTGGACAGGGTGCCTCCTGCTGGCCCCGCAGGGTGAACAGGGCGTGGAGGGGCTGCTGGGAGGCTGCAGGGCCCCTTCCTGGGGAAATGGGGGGCCTACAAAGTGACCTCAGGGCTGGCAACGGGCCCCCTAATTTCTTTTCTGGAAACTCAAGATCAAGGTAAGAACGTCGGTGTTGGCCTGAAAGCCCTGCGGTGGGGCTGGGCTGGCAACGATGGCACGTCCCCCGTGGGGCCTCGGGTCTGACGAGTCACTGATGGTTCACTGGTGTTTCCCCAGCTCAGCCGCCACCTGCCGTTTCTACTTCATCCCCGCAGCGCGCGATCCGGGTGGGAAGGAGCCTGGCCGCCCCTCGGGCCTCCAGCGTAGAGCACGGCCTGGGCGCGGAAGGCGGGGGGCGGGGCGTACGGCGAGGGGCGGGGCTTCTGCGGGCAGGGGCCGAGCGCCTCCTGCGCGTGCGTGGCTGCCGGCGCTGCTCCCTCCGTGGAGGCGGCTGCCCCACGTCGCCCCGTCCGGGGCGCGGGACCCCTCCCTGAGGAAGGGGGCCTGTCCGCGGCGCCCGCGAGCAAACACAGGCGCGCGGGAGGAGAACGTTGGTTCCCTTCATTTACTCACAGAAGAAATGACTGAAACATCAGCTCATCGAAGTCCAGGTGCGACGAAGGCACCTCGTTGGGCGGGAAAGGGCTTTGCGGGAGGGAGGGCGGGCGGCTCTGCTACGTGAGGGCGGGGTCCGCGATGCCGTGGTCGGGGTTGCAGGTGAAGGCGATGGTGACGGCGTAGCGCGTGCCCCAGCGCACCTTCTCCACGCGGTGCAGGTTCTCGGACCCCGAGGTGAAGAAGGACACGCGGCCTGGGCGGGGAGGAAAGAAAGGGGCGTGACCCACGCGCGTGGCCTTCGGAACCTGCGTTCTGGACGGACAGACACCACCCACCAGGTACCGGGGTGGGGCGGCGGGGGCGGTCGACGCGGGGAGGACGGGCCGACAAGGCCCTGGGTCCCCCCCTCCCCGCCCCCCGGCCCGGGGCCGGCCTCTGGGAGCCTGGAGGGAATCGCGGGCAGACGCGGTGCAGCCCCCGCGGCGCAGCGCCCCGGGCCGGCGCGGGGGACCTGGGGCCGAGGGGCCGGGCACAGACTCAGAACGGCCAGACACAGCCGGCCAGCTGTCACCGTGAAACGGTCCGCACTCGCAGGTGCTTTCTGGCTTTTTTCTTTAGTGACCAGCTATTAGATCGTCACCCACAACCTTAAAGTGGGGCTTAGCTTGGTGGCTCTGTAACCAAAACCAGGAAAGCGTCTCAGCTCTGAACCCTCCGTGTTTTCCCTGCCTTTAGCGACAAGGGTCCCGGATGCCCCCGGAAAGCACACGCAGGTGACATCCAGCCTCAGCACGGGACGCTTCTCTGGCTCTTGGTCTCTTAAATTCTTGGGACCCACAAGATGTCAACTTGAAGCAAAGCTACCCTGGTGGGGGTGCCCCGGCTGGTGTGGCTCCGTGGGTTGGGCATTGTCCCATAAACCGAAAGGTCGCGGGTTTGACCCCCTGGTCGGGGTGCGTCCGAAAGGCAACTGACGATGCTTCTCTCTCACATCAATGCTTCTCTGTCTCCCTCCCCCCTCTCTCTAAAAATAAACATGTCCGCAGAGAAGGGTTAAATAAAAAGCGCCCGGCGGCACGGAGGCAGCAGGCCTGGGCGGCCGCACCCTGCACAGTCCGAGGGCGGGGTGGCCCTGTCCCGGCTCCGCGAGAGAGGAGGGTCCGGGGTGGTGAGGCTGGGGCCGCACGACGGTGACGGACGGAGGCTTCTCCTGATGCAAAAGGTTCTACGCAAGCACTTACTGATTGGGTTTAAATGCCCCTCAGGGAGCCCCCGGGACACCAGGCGCTGCTCCCCACGGTGCTGGGGCGGCAGGGGTCCCGACCACCAGGGCAGGGAGGCAGGTCTCGAGCTCAGTCCTTCACTGACGTCCTCAGGTCTGGAGTGTCCCCTCATCTAAAGCCGCCAGGTCCCGCTGGGGAGGGTCAGGGCAGGAGCACCCCGGGCAGGGGCAGCTCTGGGGACCTGCTCTACGGTGACAGCAGAGCCGCAGGACATGCCTTGTGGTCTCAGACCAGCAGGTGTGCGTCCAAGCAAGTGCTGGGCACGGACAGGTGCTGTGTCCACGCAGCCTCCACCTGGCGACGCCCGCCCTGGGGCCGCCTGCGCGTCCTACCTGCCCTGGGCTCCACCGTCCTGTTGGCCCCCTCCTCCATGAACACAAAGCGCCCCCCGCCGAAGTCCTCCAGGTAGTCGGAGAGGTACAGCAGCGAAGTGTAGTCAAAGGAGCCGTAGGTCACCTGCGAGGACAGCGGGGCTGTCACGCCCGGAGCTCGGGGCCCTGCGCCTG